CTCGAAAATTTTATTTTAACAATAAAATTATATTAAAAATCACTTATTAAATTTCAATTTCTTTCTTTACATTTAATTTAATTTTACTTATTTAATTAATTCATCTTTAATTATTTCAATAAATAATAATTAATTATCTAATAATTACCAATTAAATTATAAGTAATTATATATAATCATTGATTAAATAACAATTTATATACATTAATTAAATAGCTATTAATTAATCTGATAATAATTAACTATTTAATTTTAAAATTAATGAGTTCAATAGTAATTTTATTTATTTACTCTTGTTCCTCTTTGCTGATGGTCTTCCATGGGGTTCCGGCACTTCTAATCTTAGAAATTAAGCCCTGGTTACGTGTGATGAGAATGTCGAGAAACGGAAGAGAATTTGCAGGTCTCAAGTTCAAAAGTAAACTGAATAGCAGGATCAATGGAATTCATTGTTGAAAGAACTTTATTTAAATCATCTTTATTACCTTCAAACAGGGTAAAAGTATGGTCTACGTAGCAGAACCATACCAGGAAGTTTAATGTTTCAAACAAGTTTGATTCATAATAATGCACATAGATATCAGCCAGGATGGGACTGAGGGGGTTTCCCATGGTTAATCCCTCAGTTTGCTTGTAATATTTATTTTGGAAAACAAAATTTGTTTGTTTCAAACACAGTTGAGTGAGAGAAATAAGCTCTTCAATTTCGATGCAAGAGAAATTAAATTCGCAAAGTCTGGTTTCTAGACATTTTAATGCACCCTCCACTGGACCATTAGTGAATAATGATTTTACATCATAAGAAACCATGAGTAAATTTCTAAGAGAAATATTTTAAACCTTTTTTACAAACTTTATGGTGTAAATGTTATTGTCTAATAGAGTTGGAAATCTAGAAACTAAATATTTAGCTAACGGATATGAGGCAGTACCTAAATTTATACAAAAGGGCGGAAAGGAATATCATTTTTATGAATTTTGGGAAGAGCATATAATCTGGCACAATTCACAACAGATAGGATAAGCAAATGTTTTAAGTTGCTTGAAAGGATTTGTGAAGATTTGATCGCAGTTTTTACTTTTGACAGGTCCAAAGGCGAAGGATCTTTAGGGATCGGATTATATGGTCCATCGTTTAAGAGTTTAGTGGCACCATCGATGTAAGTGTTTTTATCCGTGACGACTATCTGGCCACCTTTGTCGTCCTTTGAAATGATAATGCAGTACAAAGTCTGTAATCCGGACGTCCATTATCTGGAATGATCTATAATCTGGATCTCAAAGCCACAAACTTTTTTTTCCTGTATGCTTTACGCATGTGCATTTAATGTTACGCGTGCGCATTTAATGTTTATGCATGCACGTTTAGCACAAAAAACAAAGCAACTTAAACAACTTACATTGAAAGAAATGTTTAATAAAGTAAACAAATAAGTATTAGCTTTTTTTTTTTTGTAAATTTTGATACCCTTTAGATCATAATTGCTCTTTATTTCATAAATTATGATTTCATATTTTTAATTGCATAATTTCTGCATGCCATCTTACCAGATTTAAATTGATGATCTATAATCTGGAATCACCGAAGTCCCGACGAGTTCGGATTACGGACTTTGTACTGTATCCGGGTTAGAATGAATTTCGCGCATTGTAGCTCTTTCTCTCGCGGTTAGATTTGGTTTCAAAGGTTTATTATTGAATTTCACATTCAAAAAAATCTTTCTGTTCTATTTAACTATCCTAATTCCAATCCCTCTTTGCCTTCAGCCTTTAAAGAAATTATGTTTTAGTTCTGGTTTCATCAACAGATGGCGCCAGTAGCTTATCTCCTGTCCAGGCTTTTTTCTAATCATTATATCTTATCTTGTTCATTTGCACTTTTGCAGCTGCAGAAGTGCTTTTGTAGCTGAGGACGATGGTTTGGTAAAACCATCGAAACTAGTCCTGTGAAAATTTGAAAATATAATGCTGACTTTTGTTGTTAGACTTCTAAATTAATGATTGCCTCCATGTTGTATACTGATTTTTTGTAATAGGCTTTTAATTTCTAAGGGTATGGAATAATTCTGGAAGAATATATGTTTTATATATATTTATTTTTTGGAATATTATATATTTTTTCATGGTTTTAGGTACTTGCACTTAATTTACATGTGCTCTCAGAATTTAAATGATATTGTAAATTAGTTTATAGCAATAATTAATCCTTTATTTGTATGCAATTAAAATTTCATAATTTAACTTTATACGAATAGAGAATATTTTTTAAATTCAAATGTGTTTTATATATCGTAGCCTTAAAATTATGACATTGATCTTAATAACAGTGTGACACTTTGAATTTTATTTTAAATTGCTGATAAATTACTTTCTTACTTAAATTGCTTGAAATTTTTTGCTGATAAATTACACCTTAAAATTGTACAATTATATATGAGAGGTAGAATTGAATTTAAATGCCAATAAAATATTTAAAGAAGCTCTTTTAACCATGAAATTTAAGTATTTCTGGAAAATAAAATATATATCAATCATTTGTATAAAATGTTGTTAGTTGACGCAGTGTTCTGTTGCGATTATACAAAATTTCAGAATGCTCTTTTTAAGCTCTGGGATTATTGATTTGTAGAAGAAAATATAAAATGGTAAATGAACAGATACATGCAAAATCTTATATGTTTTTAGTCATTTGTTTAATTTATTAGTCATATTTATAAATAGTAAATTATAATTAGTAAATTTCATTTGTTTAATTTATTAGTCATATTTATAAATGTATTCAGTTTCAGCCAGTATTTATTTATACTGAAAAAAAATATATATATATATATATATAACTTTGCGTCAAAGATTTGATGTTTTAGCGTGCATTCTTAAAAACGATTGCTCCACTATATTGTTCACTCACTGATTTTTCATAATGAGCTTTTAATTTCTAAGGATATAAAATAATTCTGGAAGAATATACAGTTTTGTATATTGTTATGATGAATTATGACATGAATCTTGATAAATATGGCATTTAACTTGAGTTAATTTTTTTTTTTTTTTTTTTAGTTTAATTTTGCCGAGTCCAAAGAATTGTGTAGATTTCATTGGCAGATGGTTTAGTATAAAGTGAGGGAAAGGATTCGTAACCGTTATTAGTTGCAATAGATAAATGTTTGGCTGCATCAACAGCAGTCGCACTTCCATACACTTCAGATAACAGCACTGCTCTAGTTCTTAAGAATTATCAGATATTAACCTAGATTAGTGATAGTGAACCTATGACACATAAACCCATTTTGGGTGACAAGCATAATGTATTTTCAGAGTCGTCGACAGAGACAAAAAGTTGCAAAAACAAAAATATTTGTCTCTTGCATCATCATTGTGCTGTACTTATTTCAGGTGCATTTGACCGCATTCTTAAAAAATGAATGACATAGATAACAGATGGCCGATTCTCTGTGTGACACAGCAACAGAGTTAAGCTAAGGTTTTTCAAAATTTTGACATGTTGAGCTCAAAAGGTTCGCCATCATAGGCTTAGATAATAAGTTAAATTGTCTGACCTAGAGTTGTAGCTTCAATAAGAATTAATTATTGTAGCCAAGTGAATTCATACATTCTAGCTGGTCTCTGAAAAATCAAAGAGACATATATTTTGATATTGTATTATTTTAAAGTGAGGAGGTAGAATAAAGTCAAGCTAGTTTTACTTGCTTGTTCATGTTTTCACAGCTAGGGTTAACTACAGGCGATAACTAGCATTATAGTTTCAGGAAGACTGATGGCTGAAAGCTTGGCTTTTAAATAGTTAATTACAGATAGTCATACATACAAAACATATAAAACTGAAGCAGTCTGGCTTGACTTTTGGAGAAACAAGTTTAGAAGTGTTTTCCTGTACATCAACATCATACAATAAACTCACTATTCAGTGAGAGGTTGCTAATTCTCCCACCATCAATACTAGTTTACATGTTAATAATTTTGCAACTTCAGAGTTTTCTTTATACTACTTTATTTAAAGAAAGTATTCTTCAAAATGTTTAATTCCTAGACAAGAAACTCGATATTTCAAGGTGTAAGAGAATTCATGGTGACAACTTTAATTATGAAAGAAGCAATGATTTTCATATGTAACTTTTGATGGAATGTGAAATGTTGACACAGAAATACAAAAACTATGAAGAATATGGAAAACAGATTTAAATCTGATTTAATCATTAATATTCACAAGAATTATATTTAGAATTGATATTTACAAAATTGTTCAAATGGATGTTTAGCAACTGCAATACCTACATCACAGTGATAACAGATCTCCTTTACAAGATGCAAATTGACCTTTTGAAGACTTTGCCATGAAAATTATTATTGCTGTTGTAGACATACATGATATAGGTACTTTCCGAAGTGTATGCCAATCATTTTATCGTTGTGATGCTTTTATTGCAGTTGATGGTCATTTAATGTAATAGTTCTTGTAAACATCCATGATTAAAATAACTTCATTCTTTATTCATCATAACTGTGTTTTCATGTTTATATTTTCACATCAGCTCACAATATATGAAAATTCTTGCTTTTATAATACCATAAAATGGTAACCATTAATTCTGTTACATCTTGTATATATGTGTATAAAATTTAAGAGTTATATTTTTGTTATTCTCATAATATCAATTTTAAATTGTGTGCATGTTTTAGAATAGCTTCTTCCTATGGATAAAATGTTAGGTTCTTGTTTGATAAATACTGTTAATGTCATTCCACTGATGCACTGTGTCAAAAAAGAGTCTTTACAACAGTTTTTCGAAGCAGCAATGACACGGAAATGGCTTTAATAACAAATTTAATAGCATTTTATAAATTCTGTAAGAGCATAAAACTTTTGCTTTGAACTGCTAAATAATTTTTTAAAAATTTATTTATGTGAATAAACGTTATATTGCAATATATATTAAAATATTTGATAACATATAAATCAATATTTTAATTTTTTTTCCCAGTTCTTCATGTCTGCAATGCTATTGAACATCTAACATCCTTAAGTAATACTGAAGATGCTGTCCAGATTATGTTCATTTTACAAGATACTTTAAATCAGGCTATTTTAGCATTTTATAGAGAAGATGATAACTGATGTCTGATGCAAAAGAGATTATAATTTTTTGTAAATATATACTTGTAGAGCTCTTTCTTGATTTTTCATACATTTATGCTTAAACAATAAATCATATTTTTATAATATGACTTTGAACAAGTTAATGAACTAAAAAAAATTATGAAATTAAGCACTGTTTTTCACAGAAAATCTTGAAATTCTTTTTTGTATCTGGCTTCTCTTCTTTCTGCTAAAGGAGTCTTGAAAAATTTTCTTTGTTTGTTATTTGGTGTCATTTTGTTCTTCATCCAAGGAGAAATATTTTCCTGTATCATTTAGAAAAAAATAGTTACTGCTACCATAGAATAAAAGCAATTTAAGACATATAAGATACAGTGTTGGAATAATATAACCATCTAGCCATGTTTGTTCTGGATAATATTTGCTAGATAGCACGAAATACAGGGTGTTTAATCAGAAGTTTCAAGACTGGTTCATTTCTGAGTAGGGGAGCATGCGTGGACCGGTTCTGCTGGGTGGGGGATCTCAGGGAACGAACTGACGCTGCGGCAGTTGCCTCCGGAACTCTGGAAAGTGCACATCACTTGCAGCGTGAGTGCGTATCATTGACCTTGGTTGAAAAGTGGGAGAGGCGAAAATGGAGCAGCGCTTGGAGCAACGTTATGCGATTAAGTTTTACGTGCAACTGAACAAAACCGCCACAGAGACTCTTGGTATGATTCAAGAGGCCTTTAAGGAAGAAGCCATGTCCCTTGCAATGGTTTTCATGTGGCACAAATGTTTCAAAGATGGCCGTGGGAACGACGACTGCTCTGGCATCAAGCCGAACGGATCAAAATGTGGAGAGAGTGCGGGAACTTTTTAAACAATGACTGTCGTCTTAGTACTAAGTTAATTGTCGATGAACTGGGACTCAGTCAGAGTATGGTGTGGAGGATTGTGACGGAGAATTTGACGATGTGAAAAGTGTATGCCAAGCTGGTGCCAAAAGTTTTGTTGGTGGATCAGAAACTCAATAAAGCAATTGATGGTAGCTGAATGTGCATGTTCTTATTTGAACTGTAGGGTTTCTGCAATCTGTAACTCCAAGTTACATCTTAAAAGTATATAGCTGTAGGTCAGCATGCTAGACATGACAGTCCAAATGATTCCAAATATGCTTGGCATAATTTAAGACATAAATAAAAGCATCCAGAAACACTCAAATGTTATTTAGGTCAGTGACTATTAATATCTAACATGTAAAGAAGCACCAAGATTTCACAAAAGAAATGAAAATTCACTATAAATCGTAACTATATAAAATTAAAACAGATGTTATTTTTACAAATTTAATACTTGCAATATATCCAGTAATATGCAATATTTTTGGTATATTGTCCACATATTTTTTTTAAAAAGAAAAGTGCTTTTCTTGCAAGAAAGTATGTGGGAGCATGAAAATTACATTTTTTTAGATAATATTTGCTAGATATCATGGAATGAACTCAATAAAACAAGGAACAGTAACTGGATGTATACAGTCAAAAGTCGTTAATCCGGACACCCATAATCCGGAATGATCTATAATCCGAACTTCAAAGCTACAAACTTTCTGCACATGCATCAATGCATAATGCGTTCACGCATGCTCATATGCATGTGCGCATAATACGTTTACACATGCGCATCTAATGTATAACTAACGGTATAAGCTAAGCTAAAATTATCTAATTATCTATTTCAGTTAATGTTGCAGATTGCATTGTTCCTTAATCTTCGAATTGGATCCAGCTTATTATTTTTTGCAGACTGTTAGAGCAATTTTATAAAAGTAAGCTTGAACTTTCAATTATGTCAAATAGAATTTCCGATGCTGAAGCTCCCAAAGGATCTACAAAGCGAAAGTATGTTTCGATGTCCATCAAACAAAAAGTGGAATTGCCGCAAAAAATGGATAAAGGCATATCCTTCGTTTCTCTAACCATTCCAAAATCTGTTTATCAATTTCACGCTGCTCTGTGGTGGGGGGGGACGCTCGCGCTGCACAATTAATTGGAAGTTGATCTATCAGCACTATCCTGATCTTCAGGGCAGATGTTTTTATTTTTTTATTCGGCTTATAATTCCTTACTAAATGTAGTATTTCATCTCTATGTACTCCATCTTTGATATGATTTAAATTAAATTCCTCGTCATTATAAATTATCACAAAGTACACATCAAATAGTTTTCTGGTTGCAATTTTCTAATTTCGACTGTTGCGTAATGTATGCTTTATGCATGTGCGCTTTGAAAGAAATGTTTAATAAAGTAAAACAAATAAATATTAAGCTTTTTTTTTTTTTTTTTTTGTAAATTTTGATACCCTTTAGATCATAATTGCTCTTTATTTCATAAATTACAATTTCAGATTTTTAATTTTATAATTTCTGCATGCCATCTTACCAGATTTAAACTGATGATCTATAATCTGGGAAAAATCGATAATCCGGAATCACCGATGTCCCGACGAGTCCGGATTAATGTCTTTTGACTGTACTCATATATGCTCATCTGGAATACAGGGCATTCTACAATTCAGAATTTGAGTATACTGAGCTACAGCTACATCCTTTAAGAGCACTCTGTTTCCTAAGAATGTGTAGATAACCACAAAATTCAGTTCAATATCACAAAATAATTTTAAAATGAGCATATCTTTAGAATTTCTGATACAGTCTCGCGTGATGCAAATAAAAATCTGTTCAGTATCTGTTTAGAATTCCTGATGCAGTGTTAAGTGTTGGCATAACATTTTTCTGTTTCTTTCAGTCTTTTTTTCAGTTCATCATGTCAATCAGTTTCTGACTAAGATGGCCTTACAAAACTTTTTTTTTGTCTTTTTATTATTAACGTTTTGTGTGCTTACTTTATTTATTAAATGTTATGTTCTTGCCGCTTACACCACATGAAATTCGATTCAACAGCAAAACCGCAAAATATTTAAAAACTGCATATCTTTAGAATTTCCAATAGGCAGTCCTGCATGCTGGAGATAAAAATTATTTTCCACACAGTGTTGCCACTGCTTGCTTTGAAATCATTGAGTTTTTTTAATTAAAAATTTATTAAACTTTACAAAATATGAAATAGATAATAAAACAAATTCAAAATTTGATGGCTCTAGGTACCATTGTTTTTCACAATGCGAAAAACATGCATATATTAATGCAGATTATTCTATTATTTAATTCCTTCAAGTAAAATACAAGATGATAATATTTAATAGTAACAATTTGAAAAGTGATATTCCGCTTATAGTCTTATGCCATTTTGAGACTAATATCCCATTAGGGTAAAATTCCTTTTGGATCTTAGTTTTTTCCAGTCACAATACCCAGAGTTAAAAGAGCTGCTAGTTGTATTATGAATGCGGTTGCAATAGGGTTAATAATGCTAGTAGTCCCTTCTTGGTATATTCTAACAATGAAAACATAAAAGCAGTCCACAAAGTAGCAGTTTCATAGATACTACCAATCTTTGATGTGATAACTTACGGTAATATCAATACTGAATATCCATCCATTCACTTAATGTTTGTTATTTCTTCACTGAAAAATATCCAATCCATTTACTTATTACACGTACACTGCGGGGGAAGGGAGACAGTTCTATATCTCCCATTCTACTGGGCTGATTGATGAAATTCAAATTGTTTCTTCCATGTATCGAAAGCGTGACTTAGGATATATATTAGATTTATATACAGCATTGTTCTAACATAAGTATTTTGATACAAAATCGGTTTTCTTCTGAAATAATATACAAATTTTTCCCTTATTTCGATTCTATAACTCAAATTATGGTTGGATATCAAATTTTGTAATATTTGGTGAGAAATTAAAAATTTATCTTGGTGAATTTTTTCAGTTTGCGCCAAGAATAATTCACTTGGCGAACTTCTTAATTTAAAGCAACCCAATTTCCTTTACCTTTTTTCTCTGTACTCGAACGGGGGAAGTCATCGTTCATATTTTCAAATAATTTTAACAAAGTGCGTACACCACATTTTCATTATTATCACTCATAATAAATATGGCAAATTTCAGAATGTGGCAAAATGTAAATTCCCGTATATCTTAGGAATTTGAATAAAGAATTTTTTGCAGGTATGATTAATATATCTACTTTAAGATGATGGCAAACATTTCATAGGTTATAATTCAAAATGTTCTTCGAGAAATTTATAAAAATTATTTAAAAATACAAATTTTAAAAATAAACCACAAAAAATGGGTGAATTTTATTTGGAATGAACCTAAATTTCAAAATATGAAAGGAAGAATCAAGGAAGTCTAATAAAAAAAAGATATCAATAAATATACACCAAATTCAATTAACATCGAGGAGCTCATTTTTTAAAAACTACTTGTGCAATTTTTATAAAACTTGGCAGTTTGGCATAAGTTTTGTCGGAGAATCAAAATATGGAAAAAAAATTGGCATGCCATTTTAGAAAAAGTCTGATTTTGTGTCAAAATACTTATGTTAGAACAATGCTATAAATAAATCTAACATATACCCTAAGTTGTGCTTTCAATACGTGGAAAATGCAATTTGAATTTCGTCAATCCGCCCAGTAGAACAGGAGATATAGAACTCCCCTGCGGTCTACATGCACACTCAACCTTTCTATGTCCTAACCTTATAGCATGGCAAACATGATATGGAGGACAGCAGTGTTCGCATTACTCATGCATAATTACAGTTTTCCAATTATCATTAACAGAAGGAAAAAAATATTTACTATTTGTGTACTTACAGTTTGAAGGAACTGCATATTTTCTGCTAATTTCTGTGATTTGGGAGTAGCTTTAACATCCTGCAAGGAAAATAAGTTTAAATCTGATAAAACATTCATGAAAATATTTAAGAGATATATATCAAGGTACAAGTTTAAAAACTGCAGGATATAAAAATAATGTACTTTTGTATTAATGCAACCACCTTAGTAGAAGTTAAATTTTCAGAATATGTTAAATTCTGGCAACCATGCGCATAACCATTCTTCCGGCAAGCATGCTCATAACAGGCCTGAGTCAAGCAACGCTGCCATTTCCAATATGCATTCTTTTTTGTTGTATCCCAAGTTCCAATGATTTTTATAAACAAATTATAGTGTGTTTTGCCTTAAAATTAATTTTAAGACTAATTTTAAGTTCTTGGAATTTGTAAACAATGGAAGAAACTGAAGTAAAATTCATGTGGGAACATAGAATTTTGCTGAAAATTTTTTAAAAGGAAATAATGTGAAAATACATTTTTAGAGCTGCTATTGCCAAAGATTGCACAAAGCTGAGTCTTCAGATTTCTCTGCCTTTTTTTTTTTTTTTTTTTTTTTTTTTTTTTTTTTTTTAAGCAAAAACACTGTGTACTTCGGAAGAAGAATAGCACAAAAAATTCTGGAAAGATCTGAAAAAGAATGTGTATTTTTTTTTATTAACATGCAATACTTATTTAATAATTCAAATTTGTATTTTAAATTGCTAAAGTAAGTTTTCTTTTCATATGTTGATAATGTTTACTTACTGATGATAAATATTGATAGTATGGGAAAAAAATAAGCATGAAAACCATCATCTTGCACCCAATACGTAACTTTTACCCTTTCATCTGTAAAAAATTCCCATTTTGCAGCAAGGTGACAGCATTAATACTTAAGTACCAAAATAGGTAGTACCAGATTATATTTCAAAATTTATTTGAATTTTAAAAGGATGGTTGGTGTGGTGGATGCCTAAGTGATTGAGGCAAATTAACTTAAGAGCTGTCTACCTAGGATTTTAAAAGGAAAGTTAATATTTGCCAAGTCATTTGAATTCCTTGTATGTAAAATAATAATAATAAGTCAATGAAAAAGCTATTTCTAAGATAATTTTGTACACCAATATTTTTGTTGCTTTTGTTTACCAGTTTATGTAATAAAAAGCATCTATATGCATAACATACTTGTTGATGAAATTGATGGCTTTTGGGGAGATCAAATGGGTAGATACAATGGAAAAAAAGTGTTTCTCTTTTTTTAATATGATTATTATATAACTTATAATTAAAAATGGCATTTTTTAACACATCAGTACCATTTGAGCTTTTGCAGCTGAGGATGATGGTTCTGTAAAACCATTGAAACTAGTCATGTGAAAATTTGAAAATATAATGCTGATTTTTGTTGTTTGACTTCTGAATTAGTATTTGTTCGGTCTGTTGTTGTGTCTTAACATCAGTACTTCCTTTTAAAATGTTGTTGTACTATGTTAAATGTACTATGTTATACAAATAATTTTATGTTTCATGTACATATTTCAATTTTTTATTAGCAGTGGAATACAATACTTGAAAGGAGATAGGTTTCAGGATTTTCACATAAAAGCATTTCATTATATTAATCATTTATAGAATCAAAAGCAAAGAAATGAAACATAAAACAAATTAAAGAAACATCAAAAATCATTGAAGAAAACACTTGTATAATTGTTATGCTCTTTGTTTTTTATGACTTGGATAAAATTCTCAAATTGTTATGTAATAATGTTGAATGCTATTAAAATTACTAACATATTCATTGCTCAGATGGATGAAATATATTTATGTTAACTATCTTTTATAGAACTAACTATCTATACGTATACATCAATTTTTAAATCTTCTAATGTTTAGTCAGCCATATTTTTTCTAAAATTATTACTTGACTACATCAGCTTGGCAATCAGATTACTGACAGACTATCTTTATGACTATTATCTTAAATGTAAAAATATTAGCTCTATATTTATTGCATGCATTCATCTGATAGATTCTTTTTTCATAATTTTTCCATATGCTTACCTATTTTATTTCATATTAAGCATTTTTATAAAGCTTTTTAGATTAAAATTTGAAATGGATTTATATAATTTACATAATTGGAAATAATTTTAGTCACAGCTCTTCAGAAAAAGAATTTAATTCTGATTTGAAATTAGTTTCTATCAACTTGGCTTTTGCCTTGAAGTAACTGTGTTGTTCATTCAATCATGAGTTTTTTTTTTTTTTTTTTTTTTTTTGAATATGTAACTTATACGAAGATCTTTAATTTATTTTGCATTTAGCCCCATAAACAGCCAACTCGCAGTGTGCTGCCATTCAGCAAAGCATAAGATATTTAATTACTTTTAAATTTAATCAATCTGCTGTTACTTAACAAACAAATTAAGTAATTTAATAGCAGTAAATATCTCTTTAATAAATCTTTTTTAATAATGTAGTTAATAGATATGGTTTAATATTCATTTATTTTATAATGTACTGAAATGACAATTTTAATTACCATATACAGCATTATTGTAATTAACAAAAGATGTCCTTAATGTGCAATATATCATGTTTGTCATTAAGTAATGAAGAATCTGTATGTATGTATGTTCTTCACACTGTGTGGGGGGGGAACTCCCCTGCAGAAACTCACCAAATTTTGAACATACCTGTCCTCAACCCCAACCTGTGTATTGCCAGAGTGTGAATTGGTTATTTATTAATTTATCTCATGTTTTGTGGGAATTTAATGATTTTTAGATTATAAATTAAGTGACTTAAAAGCTTTACAGTATGCAAGTCTGTTTCAAATTTTATCAGAAAACTCAGTGATATAAAAGAAGTGTGCTACCACTCAGCAAAATACAACAATTTAGTCATATTATGGAAAAATGGCTGCACTCAGAGCAGTAGTTTTCAACCTTTTTTTACCTCACATACAAACTACTGCTAACAGATCACTCCCCTCCTTCTTTTCAAAACTAATATGAAAAATACTACACGTACAGATATGTATACATGGTATACATTTATTTAGATTATTTTCTAACATGTTTTATAAATTAAACAACAAAATGCATGTAAAATGCTGGTAAATATTAAAACTCGAATAAAAGCAGTTTTTTTTTTTTTTTTAATTTTTGAAAACTAAAACTAAATTTTTAATAGCTAAATAAAAGGGTAATGTGTTCCCCGCTGAAATTATGAAATCCCCCTCTTCCATACAAACATGTGAACACCGATAAGTCCGAATATTGAATTTGCTTTTATTATATACGATATTTATATTTCAAATTTAATCAAAAACTCAGCAATACAAAACAAGCATTTTTTCACTTGACAAAGTATAATATTTATTTGTCTTCCAAATTAACAGCTCAGCGATTTAAAAGAAATGTTGCCACTGCTCAAATTAGACTACTTTTATCTGCCATGCACTACTATGTAATCATTCAGAAAAGCACATGTTTAATTTTTCTTTCAAATTAAATGTTTTCAGTTAACAGTCTGAGTAATTTAAAAGCAACAAATGCAGATTCATTTCAATTATTATTATGCTGTATATCAGGGATTCTCAACCATGGTAGCATTTTCGAGTTTTAGGGAGGGGCATGTGGTTAGTCTTTTATTTAACTGTTAAGCATTTAGTTTATATATATATATATATATATATATATACGTAAGATATAACAAAATATGATGGCTGTGCTAAGAAACAAATAGCAACCTCAAAATTAACTATTCTAGATTTTATGCTCTCCCCCTAAATTCATCTGTTCTCCCAAATTTGAGATCTTTCCATGTTACATAACGCTGCTTGAAAAGTGAAACTAAAACCAAAAATTAGCCAATCACAGATTAGATATACTTATGCATCTACTTGGTATAAATACTGCTTTGCAAAAAACTATGTCATTCCTTTTCCTAGTTTCCACCATGTCTACAGCCACAAGTTAAAAGTACCGGATTCCTTCTATGCAATTAAAATATGACAAATATGTATACATACAAGGTGAGACCATTAATTTCCAGAACTGACGCAGCTGTATGAGAACTGTAAATCATCAGAACATGTTAATGTTTGTATTTGGAAGATTGTTTATGTGTGCATGTCCAATGAAGCCAGGGCTATTCGAATTAAGTGGTTGTTCTTGAAACATGCATTAAAATTCAGCTGTCAATTTTTTTTAATGAAATAGATATGAAGCAGTGAATTAACATTAAATCTGCTTCAAACTGGGCAGAACTGCCAGAGAAACCCATGAAACGTTGAAAGAGGTGTACTAGAGGAAGCATTATCACGTTCTCGTATTTTTGAAAAGTTTGATAATTTTTGGGACAGCTGCAAAAGTGTCCAAGATGACATGCACACTAGATGGCTGAAACAACTGAGAAAGTTCATGAGCTTATTTCCGAAACTTATACAACTGAGTACAGAAGTGCATTATATCAGTTGGGGTTTACTTCAAAACATATTAAATGGGTATGTATTTGATAAAATATTTTCCGGAGTTATTAGATTAGACCTGGAAATTAATGGGCGCATCCTGAATATTCCTTTTTCGAGTTTTGGAAAGGAGGAGAGTAATATCTTCTAGAAATGGTGAAACTGGTGCGTAGGGTAAAAAAGTTTGAGAACTCTTATTCAGAGTTGTGGAGTCGGAATCAGGTAGATTTTTGGGTAAAAGGAGTCGGAGATGGAGTTGCTAAAAAACACGTCGACTCTGACTCCAGTTTTTATTGAACAGTTTGAATTTGAAATGAAATTAAGTGAATTTGAAATGAAATTAATGACAAAGAGTTAATATTTTTATTTATGAACTATATACATTAATAAATAGTTATTTTCTATTTTATTGACATATTAGTAAATAAATATAAGGGAGCAAAATGGACGTGATATTTACCATTATTAATTAAACTGATTCATTTAGTTAAGCAGCAAGAATTCCTAAAATTGATGCCATTCTTAGAAGCGAGCAGGAAAAGGAGCAATGCAATGGAGTTTTTCAGAAGCTGTAAATAACCCTA